TCACACTTGGCCAATAAAGCATTCTATTCTATTCTATTCTATTCTATTCTATTCTATTCTATTCTATTCTATTCTATTCTATTCTATTCTATTCTATTCTAGCATCTATTTCTAACCTGGTTTCACTTGTGCTGCTGTAATTGACTCCATCCATCTTAGACTCCATCCCGTTCTCTTTCCTTCCACCCATCCCTTCATTAAAGCCTTCTCTAGAGAGCCAGGTCTTCACATAATGTGCCCAAAGCATGGTAATCTAAACCTAATCTTTTATGTCTTGAGTGAGAACTCTGGGTTGGACTCTGTATTTATTTGCTTTGCTATTCATAATTTCCTCTAACACCAAAGTTCAAAAACGTCATAATTCCTTCTATTTTTTTCCTCAAAACCTAATGTTGCATATAAGACCTCATAAATAATGGAAAGTTGTGAACAAGAAAAACATCTGAATTTTTCAGTGATTTTATTAAAAAAAAATATATGGAAAGAATATGTGAAAATCTGTAAAAAGATATGATCTTGACATAAAACAATTCTCACATTTATAGTTTCTTGAATAAGTTTTGTTTTCATTGAAAGTTATACTGCCCTAACGTTGTCCTGTCTATTAACATTTGGTTCTAACAAATCAATTGGATAATAGAATGCTTGGGAACATTCTATGACACCAATGTTTCAGTATGGCATTTCAATCTGCAGTAAGAAAGATAATTAGATCTCATGTTGGAAGGTGACTTTAAAATCCGAGTTTAGTTGGTAAATCTTAAAGACAAAGAAAAATGTCTAAACTCATTTTTGTAATTAAACAAAATATAAAATTGCTATTAAAATCTCTATTTGTCTCATCTTTACTTAGTAACAGTTTCACACCACCTGCACAGTGTCAAATATTTTGAAACTAATATAATCAGAATGGGACCATAAATTACAAATATTTTAAAATAATTTTTGGATGCCCTGTGAATGCATGTATGCATGATCTAGTCTTTGTTCTGAAAAAATGTAGTACTCCAAGCAAGACTTAAAACCCAACAAACATTTTACCTTTTATGGTAAATATGAAACTAGTGCATCTGACACAGATATTCAGAAAAGGTCAGTTTTAAGCCTAAATAGATACTATCTGAAATGAGAAATTATTTCTCCTTTAATCTCTAGCAAATAAATGAGCTAAAATGAATTGCATGTTTTTACTTCCTGAACATTCCAGGATAAGCCAACCCCCTCCTCCCTGCCAAAAAAACCCACACCACAACAGAAGGACACAGATTAAACCATATGATCTACTGTTATTCTTGTGTCTGTCTCTACTGCTTCCTTTTCTAATGCAGCTGTTCAGATACTGTCAGCATATGAATTATGATAATGTACGTAACAGTAGATCATTGCTACTGATTTAAAAGTGGAAATCTGTGGCATGTGGATATCAATGGATACCTATTATAGCTCCAAGAATTCTTGGTTAAATCATAAGATGTTATTGACATTTACATTATGGTTTGTAATAAGCTCTTTTGTTCTATTGTCTTAAGATCTGAAATATTTTCCTTCGAGTCCTATTGGGTTTGTCTTAGCCATCTCTCCCAAATCAAGTTTATTGCTGAGATTGTCTATCTCTGACTGTCTCTTGAAGTTTCATCCTTGTAGAAAGAATGTGAACCCAAATAAGACTTGTATGTTTGCTTACTATGACAGTTCAAATAATTTCAGACAGCCACAATACAATGCACACTAGGTTTTATTCTACTAATTGTGGCTCAAAGATGCTTCATTACACATTCTTTAAGGATATACAGGGCGGGGCATAACCTTTTCCTAGGGGGTCACAGCAACACTTGTAATAACAACACAAATAATTCATACACCATTCGAAAGCCCATCAAAAACTGAGTTTATTGACACGATTTAATAGTCAGTATGACCACCATTAGCCCTTCGAACAGCATTCAAACGAGGTGGATAAGAACACAACAAATCTTCAAACAGTTCCGTTCGATTTTCCAGATTTTTCAACACAGTTTCCAAATTCATTCTCAAAGTTTCAACCGAAACAAATTTAACATTTAATAGCTCATTCAATTCAGTTTTTGATGGGCTTTAAAATGAGGTGTCGCGGAAGTTGTAAACTGCTGTCGATCTTGCTGTGACCCCCTAGGAAAAGGTTATGCCCCGCCCTGAAAATCGAACGGAACTGTTTGAAGATTTGTTGTGTTCTTATCCACCTCGTTTGAATGCTGTTCGAAGGGCTAATGGTGGTCATACTGACTATTAAATCGTGTCAATAAACTCAGTTTTTGATGGGCTTTCGAATGGTGTATGAATTATTTGTGTTGTTATTACAAGTGTTGCTGTGACCCCCTAGGAAAAGGTTATGCCCCGCCCTGTACTTTATTTTCATGGCCCAGCCATGAAAAGATATGGAGGATATAGCCGAAGGATCTGACCTTCCTTACATTACTTTTACCTGATCTCCTTTACCCTCCTGAATAAGTTGAGGGTTGGATTGCTTGACTGTAAAACCAATATATTCAAGTGGAGGCTCTTAACAGGGTAACAACATGCTATGTGACTAAGGAGAAAAACAGAGCCTGGGCCCATCTGTTGTATGTTGGCTACTACCAGGAACATGTATCAGTAATAACTTACTTTTGGCCAATGTCAAAGCCAAGAAAGAGGCTTCATTCTGGCAGTTTAAAGTTTGGTCTCAACACAGAAGAAGAAATGGCATAGCTTCCTATTTATCTCAAGCTCATAGCCATTGTGCCTAAATTTGTCTTTAAATGATAATACGTTAAGATAATTTTCTCAACACAACTTTGAT